AGTTCCTCAGATTCATCACCCACAAAGGACGGTGCAGATTCAGGAATCTCCCCAACATCCTCAGCCGTGAAGACTGAAGCAAAGAAATCATTTAGTTTCTCCGCAATGGCTTTATCGTCCTTGATTGCTCCTTTTATAGCTCAATCATCTAGGGGACCCACAGGTTTTTTAGCAGGCTTCCTGCTTCTAATGTACTTAAAAAACGTTTTGTTATTTCTTTTTGAGTTTTTGGCTAGCTGTTCCTCAAAATCTTTATTTGCTTTTCTTATTACATGTTTACACTTGATTTGACAGTGTTTATGTTCCTTTCTATTTATCTCACTAGGATTGGACGTACTTAAAAAACATTTTATTTCTTTTTGAGTTTTTGGCTAGCTGTTCCTCAAAATCTTTTTTTGCTTTTCTTATTACATGTTTACACTTGATTTGACAGTGTTTCTGTTCCTTTCTATTTATCTCACTAGGATTGGACTTCCACTTCTTAAAAGATACCTTTTTGTCCCTCACTGCTTCTTTTACATGGTGGTTAAGCCACGGTGACTCTTTTTTAGGTCTCTTGCTATGTTTTTTAATTTGGGGTATACATTTAAGTTGGGCCTCTATTATGGTGTCTTTAAAAAGTTTCCATGCAGCTTTCAGGGATTTGGCTCTAGTCACTGTGCCTTTTAATTTCTGTTTAACTAACCTCCTCATTTTTGTGTAATTCCCCTTTTTGAAATTAAATGCCAGGGTGCTGGACTGCTGAGGTGTTCTTCCCACCACAGGAATGTTGAATGTTATTATATTATGGTCACTATTCCCAAGCGGTCCTGTAACGTTTATATCCTGGACCTGATCCTGCACTCCAGCCACAAGATCCAGCCACAATGGTCTCTCTTTTTGTCAGGGATGGCTATGTAGAGCATGTGAACTTTGCTCACAGACCTGAAGGTGGTCACTTCAGGTTAAAGTTGAAGTGTGTTCTCTATTGCCAACTCCTAAGCCTTCAAAAATCATGAATCAGAGCTCTCAAAATCATGAAGTTTGGGGTTCTTTTTGTTTGCCTTCTGATTTTAAAACTTTTGGGAGAACTTAAGCTACACTTTCAAGCTATACCTGGTAATCATTAGGGCTAAAAATCTTTTTTTTTTAAAGAAATCTGAGACTTGGGTACTTAGAAGCACCAAATATCTCAAGTGCCCTGGTAAAAATGACAAGCTGTTGATGCCACAGGTTGGTGGGGCGTGATGGGAAACATGCATTTCTGTTGGAGCTGTCTCTTTCTGACAGTCCCTACCGGATTATAGAGCTAACTCTCCTTTGCACCTTTGAGAATCTCTCTGTGAAGCAGTTTATATTACTAATGCAGCTGGTTATAATCTCATTTCAGATAGCTCTGCTTGGCACTGGTGCCCATGACAGTCAAAGTTCAAAGCCAGCATTGTAGTTTGGCAGTTAGCCAAAAGCATAACTTTTTCGCAACTATGCTGAGGAAGGAAAAAAGCAGCTCAGTATTTAGTCCCCATGCTCCTTTTCCCACATCACTTTCAGCCTAGATATTCACATGGGTCCTTCCTTCTCCCATGGGAGAGGGGTGACAGAGCCCCAGACTACTCATGTGGGGCCTATTCCTTGGACAGCCAGAGGAGAACCGTATTTCAGTGTTCAGTCAAATTTCTATTAACTTAATTAGGGTTCAGTGTGACACCGCACTCACCACTCAGTCAGGATTGGGATCTAAAACAATAGATGGTAGCCTAGGTACTGATCCTCAGCACATCATAGGCTTGCTGCAGAGTGCTAAAAATATCCCCTTCCCAGCCCCTCTTTAAGAGCTATTATAATGCAGAGGCAACAAATTGGTGGGCCACAAACTTTCTCTGAAGTACGTATTCTGAGAACAAAAGGTATAGGAGGATTTCCTGTTCCGTGCCATATCTGTGGCAAGCAGAATTTGTTGAGCTTCTTATTGGGACTGTGCAGGAGGAGGAAGAGGTGACAGCTCTTTCACTAATGGACTGGTTTACCCAGATTTTTATTGTTTCGGATACATTCAGGGATGCTGCAGTGACTCAGACTAAATTGCTGCTTTGTCTGAGAGACGCGTTTTCTCTGGGTAATGAGTCGATCTTAGTTCTGATTAGATTTCACTGCAGTAATAATAACCAATGAGTGTTGGCAGCAATGGGGGTGGTGGGAGGGTTAGTTCAACACAAAATATGGAGGAAAAACTTGTACTACAAAGGGTTAGAAGGAGAAAATGAATTAATCACCACTCCAGTTCATCAGACAAAGTTGCCTTATTCTTCCTTCAGTCAGACAATTCCTTCAGTCTCAGGCAGACTGGCCCCCCGCAGTCCTGGGAATCAGAGGAAAGTGCAAGTGATTAATACAGTTACATTTGCCCCACCTCCTTACTCCAGCTGTGCCAGGCAGGGCTCTAGTACAGCTGGGGTCTGAACCATAATGTGACACTTATGCGAGAGTAGAGCGCTGGTGCAAGGCCCCCTGCATTAATTAAACCCTGCACGGGCTATGAGATGTCTGCCTTCCAAATGCACATCAGCACAAAATACCTCATGGAGGCTGGTCCAGCATCATCAGGTCAGGCCCTTTGGCTCTGTGCTGAAGTAGACCCAGTACTCTAATACCTGTGACTGCTATTGAAGCCCATAGGGAATAGTGGGTACAGCAGAGGCTCAACATCCAACAGCATGGCCTGGGGTTGAGAAATTGGTGAGGTAGAATTCATCTTCTGTCCTATAAAAGCCCAAGCTAATTTCAACCTCAGTTCTGTATTCATTTTACATGTTACAAGGGCTGTGGCCCCTACTCGCTGCATTGGCCAACCCCCCTCTTGCAGGGGGAGGGGAAGGCAACCTTGGCTCTCCCCCTTGGCCACCGGGGAGAGCCGGGGTGTAGCTGCACCTGCCCGGGCTCCTTCTCCTTCTTCCCCTGCTGTACCAGCCCAGAATCCCCTTCTCCCTCTCCCCCCGCCACCTCCCCCTCTGCCAGCCTGGACTCCTTCTACCTTCCCCACAACCTAGGGTCCCTCTCCCCCCTCCCCGCTAGCCCAGGCCTTTTCTCTCCCCCAACCCCCAGCCACGGCACGCACCAGGCCTGGCTCTAACTCCAGCAGCCAGGGAGGCGCAGGGGTTCTTTCCTGCCCCACATGGGGCACAGTGACGCACAGGTAGTGCCATGTGCATCTGGCACTCCAGGGCACTGCAGCCTGCTGAGGTGGGGAAAGCAGCAGCGCAGTGTGGCGCTGTCCTGACCTCTCCCTTCTGCGGTCCTGCCTGCACTGCTCACTCCCCTTGCTCTTCCCACTGGGCCCAGGGCTGCCTTTCCTCCTGCCAAGAGCAGAAAGACAGGTTGGTGCCGTGGCTCCCATGGGCAGCTAGCGGTGCTCTGTTAGCCATGTAAGTGCAGCCACTGGGGAGGGAGTGAGTTTCTATGGGGGTGGCCGGACTCTGGGTGGCTGGCACCGCGCTCTGTCTCCTCAAGAGCCTGGCGGTGGGGGAGCCCTCAAGAGCCCACTACTGTCCCATAAGCCCGGCTGGGAGCCCCGCTCCTAGCACCTGTCCTTGGGTTGCTGTCCCGAGCACTGCACCCTCCTCTCCCAAACTTGTCATGACTGAAATGTGGGGTCTGCCAGCTACTGTGCCCTGTGGAGTGGGGGTGGAGGAAGGGCAGTAGGGACTTGGTTTAAAATTGCAATTCCAAGTGGCGAGGGGAAGCAGCGAGGTTGGCTCAAGCTGGAAAAGAGAGAGAAGGGAGGGAGGGAGGAGGCAGGTGGGACGCAGAATGACGTGATGATGTCACTCTGTTGTCCAGCAGGAAAAGGTTTTTTTAATATATGGGGAGATGATTCACTAAGTTACAACAGAAAACTCTGTCTCGGGCAAACATGATATGATGTAAGAGTGCAGCTGGGCAAATAATACAAGTGACATTTTCTGTTGCTATAAATTCCAGTTGAAATCCCTGTTCGATCCAGCCATTTTCAGAGCCCTTCTGTGATCACTCCCACACAATTGCATTGTGCTAGCACAGATGCTGGCAGAAAGTGAACATTAAGGTCACACTAGGAACTTGTAGAAAAGTCATCGTTAGTATGCTTTCCACGTGCATTCATACTGGAAAACTGTTTCTAATAATTTTACTCAACTAATCACAAAACAGAAGCAACAGCATGTGAGTGACTTGCACAGTTGCAACTTGAGCAGAAAGCAAGCCATAGCATAAAGAAAATCCACTTTGTCACTGTTTTGAATAATAAATATATCTATTTAAAATGTCAGCTAGCCACAGAAATTTTTCAAACCGACTGTGATCCTTGTTCACCCAATGTGCCTACAAGGGTTGCCTTCCTCACAAGTTGCAGCTTCTGTGGGGCTGTGAAAATGGAAACGTTCTATTATCAGCCCAATGCCAAGATCAAATCTATTTTTGGTCCATGTGTCATCGAACAATTTACTGTTCAAACATACCACCTCAAGAGTAACACCAAAACAAAGCAATTCCTACAACCAACAAGGCCACTGCAATTTCTTCTCTTGCCTCTCTCTGCCCCTGCATCCTTGACTGGCAGGGATCCTTTACCTGTCACATATCCTGTCACAGGTTGCTTGTCCCTTTCTTGTGCACATCGGGAATAGGTATGTGAAACAGGTAAATTTTGACACCATATCAGCAATGCACTAGCTCATTTGAGCATCAGAGGTGGATGTAAACAGATAGCCTAACCCTGTCTCTTAGTCATAAAATAATAGAATCTTAGAACTGGAAGGGACCTCGAGAGGTTATTGAGTCCAGTCCCCTGCCCTCATGGCTGGACCAAGCACCTTCTAGATCAGTGTTTCTTAAACATTTTAAGACCGAGGAACACCATACAATAATTTTTTTTAATCTGACACACCAAGGATTCTTTATTGAGAAAAAAAAAAAGTTGGGGGGGAGAGGGGCGCGAGAGAAAAGTCGCCTACCCCTTTAAGGACAGCCATTTTGAACTCTGTTCCTCTGTTCTCTGCAGCACACCTCCGATTGCCTCGTGGCACACCAGTGTGTCACGGATCACAGTCTAAGAAACACTGGTCTAGATCATCCCTGATAGATGTCTATCCAACCTGCTCTTAAATATCTCCCACGATGGAGATTTCACAACCTCCGCAGGCAATTTATTCTAGAGTTTAGCTACCCCTGATAGTTAGGAAGTTTTTCCTAATGTCCAACCTAAATCTCCATTGCTGCAATTTAAGCCCATTGCTTCTTGCCCTATCATCAGAGGCCAAGGAGAACAATTTTTCTCCCTCCTCCTTGTAACACCCTTTTAGATAATTGAAAACTGCTATCATGTCCCCCCTCAGTCTTCTCTTTTCTAAACTAAACAAGCCCAGTTTTTCAGTCTTCCCTCATAGGTCATGTTTTCTAGACTTTTAATCATTTTTGTTGCTCTTCTCTGGACCTTCTCCAGTTTCTCTACATCTTTCTTGAAATGTGGTACCCAGAACTGGACACTATACTCCAATTGGGGCCTAGTCATAGTTTAGCCTTTCTGCTCCAGAACCAGCTCAACTGCATGCTGCCTCCTGCTCGGAGTACACTGAATTTTTGTAGTCTGGCCCCGAAAGAGGACAAATTTGTTTAATAAAGGAGCCCCAGCAAATATCTAGGTAAAGAACCCAGTTTAGCCTGTCCTTGTTCCCATAAACTTGGCATGGGGAACTTTTTGGGGTTCAGAGGACACTGACACAGAAAAATCAGTGGGGAGGCCGCACACAACTGAGAAGCAAAAAAAATCCCTCACTGCCATGGCCCTCTACTGAGAAAGGGACATTCCCCTCCCACACCAGAGTCTAGGGGGACCCAGCCTACTAGATTCTGTGTGCTCTAGCCCTACAATGAGGCAATGGAGGTGGGGCTGGAATGCCAGTATGGGCTCCCCAATGTGGGGAGGGGGGCGAGTCTCAGGGGCTGGAACCAAGCAAGCCAGGGGCCGCATGCGGCCCTCGGGTCTGAGGTTCCCAATCCCTGCCATAAACTGTCTAGTGACTGCATAACTACACCCTTTCTAAGCCTTAAACAAACATTTGGTCAAGGAGGCCAGGGCCGCCTTGCTTTGCTTATACAAATGCCCCTGAGAGGAGTCAAGCGCCAGCTCTCCAACTCTCTGTCAATACAATGCTTTCCACATCAGCTTCACCAGCTCTTGACAGGTCAGCACACAGCATGAGTCACACAATGTGCAATGCCAGTTGGTGCTATCATTTAATGTTTTAAATAGTGTTTAGTCCCTTAAGCTTTCTGTGGCTTTGTGCACCAAGAGATACAGGGATCAGTTTTCTTCCTCATTTCTTGGCTTGTTGCTTCATACACACCACCTCGCTCTTTGCAACCTTTCACTGGCTGGCTGTTCACCACAACATCAAACATGTCTTCACTTTTAAGGCCCTTCATGTCTTATCCTTCCATACCTGTCATCTCTTATATGCTATTAAGATGCTGAATCCCATCTCTGCTTTGCCATAAATGCAAATTTGTTAAATTTTCAAACAAGAACTTTGATGCTCTCTTTCAACCCCTGTAGATCTCTGAAATCCACCCCATAGTCCTCCTGTAAAGCCTTCCATAACATTCTCCTCTGCTAAAAAGCCTGCAAAATACTCAACAATGCATAGGCAGCTTGTGTACTACAGGCAGTCCCAGAGTTACACGGATCCGACTTATGTCAGATCCGCAGTTACGAACGGGGCTTTTCTCGCCCCGGAGGACGGGAGCGGCGGGACGCCCAGATGCGTCGCGGTCCGCCGCCCCCGTCCTCCGGGGCGAGAAAAGCTGCACCCCGTCTCCCTGGTCTGCAGGGAGACGGCGAGCAAAGCCTTGGAGCACGCCCGCAGCGGGCGTGCTCCGCGGCTTTGCTCCTGTCCCCCTGGTCTGCTGGGGGGGGTGGTGCAGCTAGTGCCCCCCCAGCAGACCAGTCTTTTCTTGCCTACCCCTGGGGTAGAGCAGCTGGGGGCTGGCGGGTTGGTCCTGCAGCGCCGCTCCGGACCAACCAGGCAGCACCCCAGCTGCTCTGCCCCAGACGTCCCCAAGTCAGCCGCTGCTGAAAATGACCCCTGGCTGACTTCGGGAAACTGGGGGCAGAGCTGCTCCAATTGCCCACCGCGCCT